TCTGGGGAAGAACCCATCAGTGGTCTTATCCAGAAGCAAACCTCATACATCACAATAATGATCTGCCCTGCGAGGTGTGCCCGTTGATGAACAGTGGCTAAAGCTTATAGGATCAAGACACACCTTTGGGCCTTAATCATGGTTCATTCCAATTACTCATTTAGACATCATGACTGTTTGTCTTTTGGGTCGGGAAAACCATCACAGAGATGCAAACATCAATCAAATTTCCCTTCTCAAGAGACAGTCTGTTTCTGGACAACGTGCATGGACAGGAACATGTCAAGAAAGACCACTCTAGAGGCTCCCACGGGAGCAGAGAAAGACTCTGAAGGCAACTTGGATGAGGATGTTTGCTGTCTCTCTGTCTCTCTTGATCCCGTTACAGATGACCCTTGCTCACACCTGAACACAGGTCGTCCGAGCAAAGTTAACCGTATGCTGATGACTAAGGATGTACCCATGTTCACCCCAGCCATAAGTGAACTCCACCTCCTCTTCCAGTGTGGCCTGAGGTGACAAATCTGAGGGAAATGCCTGGGTGGAGGGACAGTGCGTGCATAGGAAGGCATGAAGGACTTGCTGCCTGACAGAAAGCTCATGCTGACAGAAAGGCTCATGATGAGGGCAAGTCAGGTGCCCAGGGGAGCCAGTCAGCACAGCACAGGCTCAGTCAGTGCAGGGATCCAGCTTGGCTACAGCCGTGTTGAGTCCTAGCCATCAAGAGCATTTGTGAGAAGCCCTGACCTGCTTTCCTGGAGTGGCCTCCCTGTCATTGCAGTGACACGTGGGACTTTACAAAGTACCCCAGAGCTGTCAGTGTTAGAGACATGCCTGGTGTCCTTGGTGTCAGCAGAGGCAAGAGCAGATGCGTTTGTCTCTGGTGAATGTCACCATTAACCTGCTCAGCATATAAACCCTTCCCTGTGACCCGTGTGGCAGCCTCCAGGCCTCCTGCTCCCCTTGGCCTCACATGGTTCTGTATTAGTTATTTCTCTACTGTTTGATAAAACACCATGACTAAGGCAACCCAAAGAATAGTTCTTTTGGACGTACGGTTGCAGAGTTTGTCATGCTGGGGAATCCTGGCTGCGTGCAATATGCGTGGTGGCAGAAGCTGAGGGCTCACATCTTGACCTACAAGCTTGAAGCAGAGAGTGGTCTAGAAATAAAGCCCACTTCCAGTGACACACTTCCTTCCTCAGCAACTTTTTTCTTTTTGGGTTTTGTTTTTTGAAGACAGGGTTTCTCTGTGTAGCTCCCAGTGTCCTGGAACTCTCCTTGTACGCCAGACAGGTCTTGAATTCACAGATACTCACCTGCCTCTGCCTCCCAAGTGCTGGAATTAAAGGTGTGTGCCGCCAAGCCCATTCGGATTCTTCATCTTATCCAGTACCCCTTGAGAGGAATCTGAGACCCATAGCCTCATGAATCCAAACAGTTTTATGTTACCACGCTACAAATTATTAGACTTTTTACTCAATCTAGCTTCACCCCTCCCCCATTCCTCAGTCAACCACTGTCTCAGCAAAAGAATATGGAGATTAATTTTAATTGCATTGGGTCTCAGGTCATCTTGTTCCCTTGGAGGACTGGGTACTTTCCAAGAGCTCCATCTACTTTGTGGTGATCCCCACTATTCTCAACATCAGTACCACCACCACCATCAGCACCAACTTCTGTCATCTGGAAGTCTCTGCCTAGAAGGCACAAGGGTGAATTGACAGTGATGAGACTAGAAAGAGCTGGGTGCCGTAAGGTATTGCCCTGTGGAGAGGGATGTGGTGGACCACAGCGTGTTCTGCATGTCCAGAACTCACACTCTGGCTTTCTCCTGTTTTCAGCTCCCCGGTTTTCCTGCCTTCTCATTCTTACTCCCTTACAGCCCTTCCTGTTCAATCCCACTCCCCACTCTAGGTCACTCTGGCCTCTTCTTTCAGACTCCGGTTTCTGTCTTCTCCTTGACTCACTGGCCGTCTGCCTTGGCTTGGTGTGCTCAGCCACAGAAATACAAACTCCTCAATACTCAGTTCCATATACTCGATCTCACATTCTTTGTCTTCTAATAGTTTGCCCCAACCACTGTACATGCCATCGCCCCATACTGCAGGCTGCTCATTTTTCTTGCTGTCTGGAGCTGGTTAAGCAGTCCATGGGCATCAGGCCTCTTCCTCCAGCTAATTTAGGTCTCTATTTGTAGATTTTCCAAGAGCTTCTATCCGTTTAGGAATACAACTTGATTCTGAGCCTTACACTAAACCAGTGGTTCTCAGATTGACCCTTTAACACAGTTCTTCATGTTGTGGTGACCCCCAACCACAGAGTTATTTCGTTGCTACATTATAACTGTAATGAATTATAATGTAAATTTCTGATATACAGGAGATCTGATATGTGACCCTGTGAAAGGGTTGTTTGACTCCCCGAAGGATCCCAACCCGTAGACTGAGAAACACTACTCTAAATGTTCTTTCAGAATTTCACCCAAATCCCTAGTGAACAGCTTCTTACCCCAAGCCAGTCAGGGAATTGATGCTTGGGTCTGTTCCTGAGGATCTCACAACTGTAATCCCACTTGAGGTCTTTCTTGGGAATGATGTCTCTGCCCACCCTACACACAGTACTCTCTGGGTGGGTGGTGCCTACAGCTACTTCCCTTCCTTTTGTATTCATTTTTTCCTTAATGTCTTCTGGACAGTAATGGAACAAGACTACCATCACACTCTGACCAGCATGGAGAAGAAGATTAACTCTAAGAAGCCATCCTGAAACATTAGGGTTCTTTAAAAAAATCTACATTTTTTCCCTTGCATAGCACCAATCTCATCATGGAGAAACATGGCAGAAGGAGAGACATGAATGGACACTGTGATTGTCCACTTGGTTGAATTGCAAGACAATATGGAGATTAATAGAGCTTGCCTCTGGTACCGTCTGAGTTTGCAGAGATTGTTTGACTGGTTTAACTAATTGAATGAGTAAAATCCTAAGTACTCTATTAGGAAGTGATGTATACACATATATATTGGGTCATTGAGAGCAAGCCACTGAATGCTATGTGTTGGCTGTGTCTCCTTCCTGTCACTCTTTGTTGCTTCCTGGCTGCCATGTGGTAAACATCTTTCCTTTGCCATGCCTACTCAACGAACTTGGCCACAGAACACACTGCAATTTCACTGGTGTTGACTGTGTCATTTCTTGTGTTTGAAGTAGTCCTTGATTATAGAACCAATGTGACAATTAAGGTAAGATTTTTCTATCACCACAAAGATACCCTGGTGTTAATCTTTCAGGGTTCTGTGCCTTCCCTATACCCAAGGCAACCCCCCGATTCTCCACAGCATCCATCATTTTTCTTTTTTTTAAATTTACTTTTATTCTATGTGCATTGGTGTTCTGCCCCCAGGAAAGTCCACGTGAGAGTGTCAGATCTTGGAGTTACAGACAATTGTTACCTGCCATGCCAGCACAGGGACTCAACCCGGGTCTCTGGGAAAAGCAGTCAGTGCCCCCAACAACTGAGCCATCTTTCCAATCCTGCATCCATCATTTGTATAACTGGAATCAGATGTTATACCTGTACAATTGGTTCTGTTTGACTAAGCACACGCCTTTGACAGCCATCTGCAACAGTATTGGCACCATTCATTCTTTCCTTTTTGTGGCTCAGGGATCACAGCTCATCATGCTTCCCCACGTACCACGACACCCTCAGAGCACCTGATCTGCATGCAGGACCCTCCAGGGGCAGCAGCTGCATGCACAGTCCAATTGCCTGTCACTTGTGTACGGCAGGGACAGACTTGGTCACAGCTCCTCCTCTGCACTGTCCTTCCTTTTCCCTGTCCCTCTCTCCTGTCCATTTCTGGGGCCTCTACTCACCTCTGAACATTTCCTGGTCTCATTCCATAGCCTTTTGTTAAGAACACTTCTAAAACCTGAGATACATTATTACATCACACAGATTTATTTTAAGTTCTTTTAAAATGTATCTATTTTTCAAATTTCCTGCTACCTACTGGAATACTTTCATCACCCATAAAGCAATGCTGTATCTATGAGAAGTCACAACAGTCCATCTTAATTATCCTCACCTCCACCCCCACCAAGGCTTTTTTGTCCTTCATAAAGGAAGGTGTGTTCCTAGGTGGGCAGACTGTGGAGGTGAGGGGACCTGGATGGAAGGCTGCAGGGAGCTATCTGGACACTGGACACCTAAAGTGGTCATTCATTCAAAGAGATGTGGTGTAGATGCTTCTAGAGCCTGGAAGAGCATAATGACAGAGGTACTGGCTCTTCAAGCAATCTATGTCCCAAAGGACCAGACTGACAGAGTCAGGAAAGAGGACAGGGGTTCAATGTCAAGGATGCGGTGAGCTCTGGTAATGGCTCTTGAGTTAGTTAAGGGACAGAGGCTGAGCACCTGGCACAGCGTTCACCAACACGGGCACATGACAACAGCAGAGAGGATTCAGTGACCATGGACATCGAGGAAGAGGTTGCTATGCAGGTCAGGACTCAGGTAGCTTTCTTTCCCAATTCCATCCAGGGCTCCATTCTCTCACTGCTCTGCACCCCCAGGGAGATGGTTACAGCCACATCAAGCTTTCCCTTAGGCAGATGGTCCAGTCCAAGGAAGGACAGAAGGGGCCGTGGAACACAAGAATGTTCCTCTAACGGACAAAACCTAGAATTCATACAGGTCGTCTCTGAGCCCAGTGTTCAGAACTTGGGAAGAAGGATGCTTGAGCTGCAAGGGAGAGAGGACACGGCTCACTGTTGCAGCCTCAGGGTGCCTCTCTGGTCAGAAGGGGAGGGCAAAATAAAGAAGGAAAAATGGTTCTTGTGTAAATTTGAAATATTCCTCTTAAACCACAATAAAGAAAACCGATTTTAAAAGAGGAGGTGACAAAAATCAGGAGGGAATTATCAACTTTCTATATTCAACAATCTAGAAACACATGGTGTCACTTGCAGAAAATACACAAAGCAAGACCATGTCAGTGTTTACAAATTTATTCTTCAAATATTATTGATCAGGCACAGCCTTCGTGTGCATGTCAGCAGATCTCATGCCATTACAGCAGATTTTAAACTTCAGTAGGAATTAAACCTTGAGATTTCCCCATGAGTCTGGTAGCAGAGAGCAGAACTCACCAGCCGTATCTTATCACCTCTCCTTCTTCGTAGCATCCACAGCTGCCATGTAGGACAAGAACCTGTGGTGACTGCGCAGATGATGTTCTACGAACTCTTTCCTTTCTACCCTCCCTGTGACCAAACTATGAACAAAGAAATGGGGTTCACCTCCAGAGTCTGATTGCAAGATGTGGGAATATTTGGTAATATACAGAGTTAGGGTGAAATAGGAAGGAGGATACAGTCTCTATGCAAACAACCAGAAAGCAGTGGGAAGTTGGCAGCTCGGTGGCCTGTGAGGATGGTGAGCCTCAGCTAGGAGCAGTGTGGGGGCATGACTGAGGAGTAGCCATGCTGTGGCTTAGTCAGGACCTGGATGTGCTCCCCAGCCTGGGAGCTTGGTCCTTATGTGGGATGTCGGAGATTGTTGGACCTAAAGTTGGAGGTCACAGCCTGTCCATCTGTGTTCTGGATTCAATTCTCTCAGTGTGGCCTCTCCCTCCAGCAGGCACTACCACCATTGCTGTTAAGGGGACACAGTCAGGAGCTATCATGTGTCCATGGCTCTGTCCAGGACATCTCCCACCCTCGGTCCTCTGAGCTGCACTAAGGAGAGATTACTGAGTCAGGATGTCATGGACCTGGATGAGTTCTTGCAACTTCTGCTCCAGGTCCTGAGCCTGCTTCCGCAGCTCTGCAGCAGACTCTGCCTTCGCGCCCTCGTGCAGATGCTTTGAGTCTTCCACAAGGCTGACCATATCCATCACAAGGAAGAGGCCTGCAGTGGCTGCACCCATGATCCGGGCTCCCTTGGTCATTGCCAGAGCAGTGCCTCCAAAGGCTTTCTGCACCTGTCTTGTTTTTCGGGCTGACACTGTCCCTGTTGTCATGAGACGCTTGGCATTACTAACTAGGCGAGGGCTGGCTTTGACCAGCTTGATGGCATCAATGTTCTTCTTGATGACTTCCAGGTTTTCAAAGGAATTCCTAAATACAGAAACAAGCCTGGGGGCGCTCTTCTCCCAAATTTCTTTAATGGCCTTCTCTGTGTCTTTGTTGGTTGGCACCAGCTGCCTGGCTTCAGCTTCCGCTGACACTGTGCTGACCTTTTCCACAATGCTTGTGGAAACACTCGTCACAGCCGCTGCTGCCCCCAGCCCCAAGCCTATGGCTGAAAGTCCCAGACTGACTCCTGCTGTCACAGGTGCCAGAGCGAGGCCAAGGATTGTCAGGACTCCAGACACAGCACTGGTGGAGCTGGCCACCACTTGTGTGATGGTGCAGTCCCTGTGCACCTTGTCAATCTTGTCTGCAAGGGTGTGGAGCTTCCTGATGAGCTGCTCAAGCTCCAGTTTCATCTGAGGATAAACATCCAAAAATATTTTCTTGTTCTGCAGGTCATTTTGGAGATCATATTCATCTTCTAGATCAGGATTTGCAAAGATCTCACTAAAACCTTCATGCAAGGAAATTTCCTCTTCTTGGTAACCGGAGAGAAAGAGTAATTTAGGAACGTGGCCTGTAAGATATGTTCACTCAAGAGAAAACACACACACACACGCATGCACGCACGCACACACACACACACACACACGCACATGCACATGTGGGCGCAAGCACACTCAACAGGCACATGTCACACACACAGAGATTAGAAACAAAACCTTCTATAAATTGAACTTTCAGTGAACACCTACTGTGTGCTGGCCATATTGAGCCCTCCAAATACATCCTCTTAGTTTTCTTTCAATGAAGTGCAATGGTCTCCTAATAAAGCAGAAGGCGATAAACTAAGTTCTCATGGTCACAGGACCGGCAATGGCAGTCTTTTCTCCTGTGGCTGTCATATCCCCTCAATCAGAAGCTGTTCCCTGCTACTGAACAACATTGAGCAAATATTTCCTGAGAAGGGACACCCTGAACTCCATCTGCTTGGTCTGCCTTGATAGAGTTTTCCTTTCCTCAAAAGATAGCAGAGCATGGGTTCCGGTGACCTTGCTAGCATCCCCTAGGTAGGTGACCTGTACAAACCAGCTTCTGCTACAAGCTGTTTCCTGGCTTCCTCTTCAGTCAGCAGGAGCTGCAGGGCCTCTGTGCTCCTTGTGTCCAGGAGGTACTCAAACACTTGGTCCACGAAGTCTTTTCTCTCTATATGGAAGGAAAATATATGGTCAGAGGAACGTGCATAAGAGTTTGCATGGCTTAAGGAACACGCTGGTTAACTGTTTCTCAGCATCTGTTGCTTGATGTGTACTTTGGTGTCACTGATGGTAGAGGCTTACATGTGTCCTTAACGCATTTGTAAAATCTCTAACCCCAGGCGAGTGTATTTGGGGACAATGCTGCTAAGGATCCAAAGGAGGTTGTGAGTGAGGTTCCTAGTCCATAATATTTGTGCCCTTATGGCAACCAGAAGAAACTCCCTCTCTCCATTTCCCTCCTTCTCTGTCTTTCCTCCTCTCCCCTTTCTCTCTTTCCTTGCCTCACTTCAACTCCCAGACACATGAGAGAGGCCGTGGGTCACCACAGGGCACACGCTGCTCTGCCAACCAGGAAGAGAGGGCTCCCCAGTAACAACCTGACACACTTTGATTGTGGATGCTGGCATCCAGGGCAGGGAGACAGGAGGTTTTTTCTCTTTAAGCCACCTACCCAGTGTCACTTAGTGATGGCATCCTGAGAAGACCAATGAACCAGGGAGTTGTCATGTTGGTTTGCAGAGACATGTGTCGTTTTCAGTTCAGAACAAGTAGGAAGTGAACCCCTCACCCCCAGGAAGAGGGAGGGTTCAGTGGTGGCTTCCATTTACTGTGTGCCTGTGGCACTGTCCTTGAATGTGATTTTTCTCCTTGATCTTTATTTTATGTATATGCATATTTGCCTGCTTGTACGCATGTCCATGCACCTTGTGTGTGTCTGGTGCCCAAGGAGGTCCTTGGATACCCTGCAGTTGCAGTTACAGACTGCTTTGAAAGTGACATGGATGTTGGGGACTGAACTCAGGTCTCTGCAAGAGTAGCACATGCTCTTAACCACTGAGCCAGTTTCTAACCCCCAAGGTGACTTTTGACACTGGACTTGTAACTTATTAATGCCAAGTTTCAGTTCTCTGGACTGAAAATCAGTAGCCCTTATTTGGGGAGCTTCCAGATATGAGTAGATCCTAAGTGCTCTGAGCTAATGAGTGGTTCAATGACTGAGTTGAGGCACCATGGGAAATGGGGCTTGGCTGGAGTCAGGAGGGCACCTGGGATGTGTCTTGGGGCTGGTGGCTGTCTGTCTTGGCCTTTTCCTGTTACAGCTTTGTTTCTATTTGTGTGCCCATACTATCCTCCTTACAATTATCAAGCAAATATGCAAGCAAAACATATCTATTCTCATTAGTCAAAATATGACCAGAATTAAAAAAATAAAACAACCCCCCAACACCTAAAAACCAACCAACCAACCAACCAACCAACCAACCAAACAAACTAACTAACTAACAAACAGCCCAGTGGTGATAGCGAATGCATTTATTCCCAGCACTCTGGAGGCAGAGGCAGGCAGATCTTTGTGAGATTAAGGGCAATCTGATCTACAAAGTGAATTCTAGCATGGCCAGGGCTATTACACAGAGAAACCCTGTCTCAAACTCCCCGCCCCCCAAAATCAACAAAAAACCACCACCACCACCAAAAAGTAAAACACAAAACAAACAAATAAAAAATGATCAAAGTGAGTAGTTTACATTTTTTTAAAAATATGAATTTAAAAATATACCTGCATGTATTCCTATGTGATGGTGTCAGATCCCCTGGAATTAGTTAAATTATTAGCTGCCATGTGGGTGCTAGACATTGAATCCAGATCCTCTGGAAGAGCAGCCCAGTCTTCTCAACAATTGAGCCATCTCTCTGGCTCTGAGCACCACTAGTTTTAACTAGTTTTTGGTGAATGAATGAACGAATGGTCTACTGAGCCAACAGAAGAATTTAAAAAAGGAAATGGAGGCAGCATAGTGGTATATGCCTTTCATTCCAGCACCAGGGAGGCTAAGGCAGGTAGATTGCTGTGATTTGAGGCCAGGAGAAGCCATGGAACACAGGGATTGGAAAACTAGTGTATATCAGGCTGTTGTAGAGTGGTTCCTGGGTGTAGGGTTGTGCCTGGGTGTAGGGTGGTTCCTGGGTGTAGGATGGTTCCTGGGTGTAGGGTGGCTTCTGGTGTAGGGTGGTTCCTAGGCATAGGGTCTTTCCTGGTGTAGGAGGTTCCTTGGTGTAGAAGATTGTTCCTGAGTGTAGGGTGGTTCCTGGTAGTGTGGTTGCTGGGTGTAGTGTCTTTCCTGATGAAGGGTGTTTCCTTGGTGTAGAAGATTGTTCCTGGGTGTAGGGGGTTACTGGTGAGGGGCCTCTTGAAGGTGGAATTTTTTGTTTGTTTCTGTTTTTTTTCCGGGTTTCAGCTTCAACTTTAGACTTTTTTATGTTAAAAATCTGCTTTAATTAAATATTTTACATTTTACAAAGACCATTGCAGTTCTTTTACTTTTTAAATCTAAGAGTACAACCTGTTTCCTTTCTGTAATTATACTTTAGCTCATACCCAGAAAAATCAATAGGTGTAAAAAATTTAATTAAACTTGTATTTTTAAACTATGAAACAGTTTGCGGGAACACAAATGTATATATTTATATTACAAAAAAGCATTAAATGCCTGTACAGGTGTTTTGATGTCATAATTTACTTCAAAAATACCAAAATAACAATTTAAATACAAAATGCTACATTAATATACAGAATAAGATTTAATACAAATCTTCTTAAGTTTTTCTTTTCAGTTGGCTAAACCCATTTTCCGAGTGTGGAGATGTAAGCATTTTTATGTCATCCACCACTATAAACTATAAACTTCTGAACAAGAGGGATAGTTTATTTTTCTCTTTCTCTTTCTTGGTGATGGAGAAATAACTGCCAAGGCCATGGTTTTAATAAATTAGGAAACTCCAGGAGTACCGCACAGCTGGTAAACAAGCACTTGTCCTGCAGTTCAGGGCAGGGGCCCCAAGAGCCTGCAGTGGGGATCGGGGCCCCATTGGAATTAACGGGGTCCAGGGAGGGGAGGCAGCCAACAGGGAGGGCTGGCTGTGCAGCAGGCCCGGGTCTGCCTGTTTGCTATTCTGATCTCAGAACGACATGGGGACACTCAGCCTGGGGATGTGGGTAATTTGAGGTGACAGATTCCAGGTAGCAGGGATGGACTGTGGGGCCAGACTCCCTGAGGTGCAGTAGATTCCTGCTGAGGCAGTTAGAACAGGTGGGGTCCTGAGCTGGAGCAGGGTGGGCTCCCTCCTCAGGGACAGCGCCCCAGGGTCAGCTGAGAGCAACCTCCATAGAGACGGGTGCTGGCTCCCATCTCAGTCCTCCTGCCTCCTGCTCCTTCCATTCTTCTTTCTCTGCCTCTTTCATCTCCTCTCTTCTGTCCCTACCCTCCCTCCCTCCCTCCCTCCCTCCCTTCCTTCCCCCTCCCCTGCTGGCTTCCATTTTTCAGGCTGGGTATTGAGGAGCCTCCTGAGAATGAACCCCAATACAAGACCAGGAAGGGGGCCTCTCTGACCCAGACCTGGGGAACTCTCTATGCTCCCCCTTGGGGTTCTCCTCTTGTACCTTTGACTCCTCAGCAGGCACCCAGCAGGGAGGCTCTGGCAGTCCTAGGCCAAGGGCAGCAGAGAAGGAGACTGATTACCTGGGGAGCCCATGACAGCTGCTGGGTCTTGGTGTCACTCAGGGGATCCGGGTAGGTTTTCCTTACAGCTCTGCAGGCGTCCAGGCTACTGGAGGACAACCTGTGGGACAGAATGGGCACAGCTGCTGTGACCAGGGATCTGGTGACCCACAGGTCATTCAACATGGCTGCCAAGGACAGAAATAACTTGACCCAAAGCATATCTGTTCCTCTGTGACTGCTATTTAAAAAAGTGTGTCTTGTGACTCCAGCCCTCTCTCCGGCCAAGGAAGAGAACTCCTGTCCTGTTGGGGGCAGTGGAGAAGGTGTCAGGGGAGGACACAGCTGTGGAGAAAGAACAGACCCTGCACAAGAATGAGAGATGGAGAGGAATGTTCTGGTACCCACCTGGGTGTGGCTTTTTCGAGACAGGGTTTCTCTGTGGCTTTGGAGGCTGTCTTGGAACTAACTCTTGTAGACCAGGCTGGTCTCGAGCTCACAGAGATCCACCTGCCTCTGCCTCCTGAGTGCTGGGATTAAAGGCATGCGCCACTATGGGAACTATGTTTATATTAATGGTAATTTCTTTTCTCTTCCTTTCTTTCTATCTCTCCTTTTTTTCTTTTCTCTCCCTCTCTTGTCCTCCCTCCCTCCCTCCCTCCCTTCCTCTCTCCCTCCCTCATCGCTTCCTTTCTGTCTGTCTGTCTGTCTGTTTTTTTTTTTTTTTTTGTGACACTGGGATTCTCCATGTAGTCCTGACTGTCCTGGAACTCAGACTAAAGTCCAGGCTGTCCTCAAATACAGAGATCTGCCTGTCTCTGCTTCAAGAGTACTGGAATTAAAGGTGTGCACTGCCACTGCCTGGCTGTAATTTCTTATACTGACTGTCTTAGTCCCTATTCTATTGCTCTGAGGAGACACCATGGTCAAGAAAACTCTTAAAAAAGAAAACTGCTCTCCTTAATAGGTCTGTATTAAAGGCATGTCTTCCCATATCAAAGATGAGGAATAGAGGTGGGTCTTCTTACCTCAAATTAAGGAAAATTCCCTCTTAGTTATGCCTTGTATTTGGGTTTTAATTTAATTTTAGATGTAGTCAGATTGACAACCAAGACTAACCATTACACTACTCACTCATAGTTCCAGGGGTACTCTGCTACACAGACACAGAAATTGTTAGGAAAAAACACTTTTGGAAACTCTTGGGACAAAGGCTGAAACTCAGTTTCACGGAGCTATGTCTGACAGGGAACTATGAGTGTGCCTGTGTTTATGTGCACTGTGGTGGGATGTCCTCTAAATTAGTGAAAAAAGTTTAAATGATTTTCACCATCTATATCCTGAGTCCTTGATGGTTCTGGGATCCAGGATGTGGGCCTGGTCTCTTCTCTCTGAACATCTCTGGTGTCAGAGACAAGCTCAGGTTTCCTGGTAGCCACTTTCCCATGACCTCTGTAGCATGTGTGTGTGCCAGGCATCTGAATACCAAGGAGAGCAGTGTTCTGGTAGGGATGAGCAGAGCAGCCAATCCTAACTCTGTTTATCAGATGAAACAGAGAGATTCTGAGAGGGAAAATGCTGTATACAATGTCACACTGCAGATTCTGACTTTGAGGGGAAAATGAGGTTTTAATAATTCTAAAATTTCTCGAATATTCTCTGCTCGTATGGTTGCCCCACCTGGATTCTGCCCTTAGGGTTTTCAAATACACAGTGGCGCTGCTTACAGGGCTGTGCACCTTGTTCTCTGGGTTCCCAGGCTGGCACCCTTTTACTCTTACACACAGAACACCCTCTGCCTCCTGACTGCGGCCACACACTGAAGAGGGACCGGCCAAGGCCGGGGATGCAGGCTGGACATCCACCCACATAGGGCCTTCTAGTATCTGGAACGGGACACTCTTTTATTGGGCCAGTTTCCACTGTGGGTGGTGGCACAGACACACACTCTGAGAGAGTCATGGTGCGATCTCTGGGTTCCTTGTGTCTCTCTTTGCCACGATCTGTTCATGTGGCAATACCCTAGGGCCAACCCCAGGCTGCTCCTCACACGAGGACGGGTGGACTCTGGGCTCTGCTCCCTCCACCCACATCCTTCAGTTCCCCCTGTTCCAAAAGGGTCACCCAGAAAAGCCACCTTCCCTCTGAGGTGCCCTAGTCACATGTCAGGTGGTTTGGGACTAAGATGAACCCTTGGATAACCCTTCCAGGGGGTGTTTAAAGTCCCTTGTGCTGACTTCCTAGGGAGAGGAAAAAGCAGCCAGATTCCAACCTGGATGCAAGTTCAGCCACATGTTGGTGAACCTGTGACCCAGGCCAGTGCCTAAATCTCATTTACAGGACGGGGCAATTGTCCTTTCTGAGAGTGGCTGTGGGGATGGGCAGATGTCTTCCTACTTATGGAAAAATCTTGCTGAGTTAGATATGACACAGCTGTCCTTGGCAGTGTGTCCAGTCCCCAGCTGTGCATCTGAGTCACAGCCAGAGGCACGTGGAGGGCCGTTGTGCCCAGTCTGAGAAGGGCACGTGGGGTCACAGCTGCTGAGCCACTGATGATCCAGTGGACAGCACAGACAAGTCCCTCAGTAGGTGCCACCCTCAGACTTGCCCCCTTCACAGACCTATCAGCGACTCCGCCTAGACCATTCTCATCTCATAGTGCAAAACTCCTCAGACTGGGTCTGACCTCTGAAGGCCGGCTGCTCTGTGACAACTGAAGATTAAATGTGCTTGTGTCTGACAGCCACAGGCCGACTGCTTCTGCACCCCATGAACCACGCAAGCCTCTGACAAATGTCTGAGTAAGTCTCTGCCATTTTCACAATGCAAAAACCATTTGAATTATACTTCCTACTGGAAGTTATGCTTCTCAGCTCTCTGACGGCATTGATGACTAACTGGAGTGTCAACCACAGCAAGCACCCAGCTGCCCTCAGTCCAGGTTACCATGCTGACAGGCTTCACACTAAGACTGAGAGTTTCTGCAGGTCTAAGAAAGCAACTTAAGGGACATAAATCCAAGAAAGGATTCCAGACAAGTCTGGACTTCCTGTCACTTTCTCTGGTCCTCACCAGACCCCACTCTAATAAACAATTCTCAACCCCCTCCCCAGATCCCTCCCTTAACTTCCTCCTTTCAAAATTTTCCTTTCCCCCTTTCCCCTCACTCCCTCATGTCCTGCTCCCTTCTAGGAAGGTGCCTTCTCCAAAGACGACACACATGTTGTCTCCTCTTACAACAGCTGTCAGGACACTCCTGCACCACCCCCTCCTTTCCTCAGCCTCATTTGCACCCCCACTCTCTAAATCCCCAGCCTCCTCTATTCTTCCCCAGACTCAACCTTCCTGCTCCCCCATGTCCTCCTCTTCCCTCCTCTGCTCCCCCTCTCTTTTTCCTGGCTCAGGACAGCATGAACTTGAGAATCTTTAATCAGCTCCCAGGTCAAGTTCAATCGCATTCACCCTGGACAGAGGGCCTCCTGCCTACTGCAGCCCCTCCCTTTATTTCTTCTCCCTTACTCTACCTCAGCCCCACAAGCAGCTTCCAGAACTCCAGGACTATGCTGTCTCTTCCTGACAGGAAATGCCACCCCTTTGGTGCTAGGACCAACCAGGACTGCCTCATTCCATGTGCCCAGCCTGCCCCTGTCTGGGCTCTGGAGACATTCTTTGGTCATTGAGTCACTAGATTCTGAGAACACAGCCCCATTCAAGGAAAAAGTGTGGATTAAAATAATAGTAATCTTAAAGTTTGCCAGACTTCCTGACTTTACAGGCACAGACATAATCTCTACCTCCATCTGTGGTCTGGCCTTTGACCTCTGTGACGACAGGGCTCATAGTGCCGAATATGTAGTTGTGCAACTTGTCCCTCCCCCTCCACAAATACACAGGACAGCCTGTCTTCCTTCTCCATCCCTCACAGGCTGGGGAGGCCCAGGGGAGGCAGAACTGCTGCCCACCCGCTCAGTCTGCTTCACAGAATCCCAGCAAGACTCAGATTCCCCGGGGCCTCACACAGATTCGGGCTCAGAGACGGTGTGTGGCACAGCTCCTGGGCACCCTGCATCTCCTAATCAGCCATCATTTGTGCAATCTGGTGTTGGCAGCAATAATCGCCCAGCACCAACATCAGGGTTCACAGGACACATGAACCAGTGAGCTCTGGGTAGCCTGCCCACGTCCTCTACACCCTTGGTGCTCTCCATTTCCAAGGGAGTGGGGACCCACAACAGCCACCTTTCTCTGGAATCCTGCTGGTATCTGGATGTCTACCTACATGGGTTTCTGATGTCCCAAGCCCCTGTGATGCACCTTAGACCCATCATGCATTGCTTCCTGTCATAAGCCCCCAGCACTGCCCGTTACAGACTCTCTTGGTCTCTTCTTGGCTCCCACAGTCCTTGGGGTCAAAGTCCACTCCCTGGCTAACTCTCTTGTCTCTAAGCTCACATGACTGTTGAATAGTGCTCCCTTCCTCCTAACAGAATGAACTTCAAGCAAGGCTGGATTCCAGGGACCAACTGCCCACTGCATCAAGATGGACATCATCCCACTTGCAGGTCCTTGATGGCCATCCCAATGCAGCTTCTCAGAGAAGGATAGCAGATGACACTGCATCTTCATGCTACTGCTGGCAACTCTAAAGTCACCATGCATTGGGAGTTTTATAATCATTTTTTAAAAACTAAACGCCTCAGTGTTTGGGCAAATCAGCACATCACCATTGTTGATAATGGGGGAGAGGGCAAGTCACCCCATTGTTGATAATGGGGGGGCTGTGATCTTTTCCCAGGTGGGAACAGGTGTGTTGAGAGGTAATGGCTTTCACACCAGAGTTCAGGAAGCAGTTAAGACTCAGGCCAAGATCCCCATTCAGACAGTAGACTCTTGTGAGCACATTTTCCTTTTTAAAGTTATTTTTTTCTGTAGTCCTTCTTGTTCACAGTTCTTCCCTCTTCATCTGCATAACTTTATGTCAGACAGTCAGAGGGCACCAGGGTGAGATGCACGGCCGTGGAAACGTCTCGGAAGCTGTGGGGCCAGCCAGGATGGAGACCACCTATCAGGGCACAGAGGAAGGGATCATCACCACACCCCGAATTGAGCCAGGGTGGGGCCGTGCGATCTGACTGCAGATTCGGCTGAAAGAGACAGA